GGCGCCGCCGCCCCCGCCTCCCGGCGACGCGCGACGTCAGCGCGCAGGCTCACGCGCCGTGACGTGACCGCGCCACGCCCCCTAGGGAGGAGTCAGGGCTGCCCCGGGGCCCTGGGGCTGTGCTGACCACGCCCCCGCCCCGCCCCCCGGCCGGGAGACTCCGCCCACGCGGGACGCACGTGCCGACCTAGCCGTTCCGGGCTGTGGTGGGCAGGCTCTGGGACCCCTGCGCTTACCCTGACTCACGTTACATATAACACAAAACAAAGTATCTGCTTCCCCGGCACACGTTACATATGACACGCAACAGGGTGTCTCTAAGCCTAAGGGCCCTGCCACCCCGGTACACGTTACATATAGCACGCAAGGTGGTTGTCACAGCCCCGGGCACACGTTACACACAGCACACAGCTCACCAGTGAATTCTGCTATAAATGTTGAACAGCCACACGTGCCCAGTACTTATAACGTGATCAAAATGACCCTCCAGCTAGAAAAAGAGCCGTCGCGCCATGAAGTTTGTGCTGGACGAGGTGCAGCAGCTCTAGAGCGGGTTTCGGGCCAGCCTTCGTTTGGACGCGTGGCAGGGCCTGAAGGCAGCGATTCTCGGGCAGGCAGCTGTGGCACCCTGTGACGACATGAGAGCCCTTCGCGGTGCCACGCCGTGTCAGGGCTGTTAGGTGCGCAAACGTGATTCATGGGATAAACCCAGAGGCTGCAATTAGGAATCGGTCGTGCCAAAGCCACCCTGCCCTGCTGGGGTCTTTCCGAGCTCGTGCAAGAGAAGAAGGTTATTTTCCTGAAGTCAAAATCTGAGTGGGAGCGAAGAGCTGGCATTTTCCAAGGGGGCCTCAAGCCTAAAAAGGTTGAGAGCCGCTGAGTAAAACCATCAGAATCCAGCCCTGAAGAGCCAACCCTTTCCCATCTTCTCTGCCTGCTGCAGCCAAAAAGTTACCATTTCATTATGTTTGCCTAGTTTTTAATGGACAAGATAAAAAGCACGCAACAACAGCAAAGGCCACAGACATGGCACCATGTTGCAATTATGTTCCTTGGCTTACGTGGTCCAGAAGAAAAGAAGGCATTTGCACCTTAGCACAAAATAGCCATTTTACTAAAAAAAATCCATGTTTCCCTTTTAAGAAAGAACTCTTCTCCACTTTTTTATGCTCTTCAGTCTCTTTCTTCCTCAGTTCCTATTTTTTCTTTCGCTCTGGGCCCCTACTTTCTAAATTTACAACTGCAATAGAAGTAATAAAAGATTCATATTTAAATGGCTCAGTACCCCAACGGCAGTGCTACTTAGCAAGCTGAAATGCAAAACCCTAGAACTCTTGGTTCTGAGATGGTACCTTTTATTAAACCAAATAAGAAATCATAAAAAATATATATCTTTTGCTGCAAGCTTTTGGGCGCACACGCCCTTCCTCAGGCTCAGGGAAAATTATAGATGGTTAAATTCCCCATAGGTAGAAAATAAACTTAATTTTTGCACAGAGGAAGCTGAAGGTGGAAGTCTGTTCCTATGGATCCGTGAGAGTGTCTTTGTGACACTCTTTGTGAGTTGCTCTTTGATGTGCGGATCAGGCAGGATTCCTTCCCTGGTGGCGTCAGAAGGCAGGAAGGTGTAGAAATCTTTCTTGGTGTTCAGCAGTGAAGTTTAAATCTAAAGTTGGCTAAAATTCAGCATCTTCCAAGTTTCAGGGGTGTATTTGGTAGCGGTGTTCATCTGAGACAAAAAGGTATGATCTCTGAACCAAGAGTTCTAAAGTTTTGCATTTCTTTTGTCTCAGACCAACACGGCTACCAAATACATATAGCAAGCTGCTCACTTCTGGGGTTATCAGTAGAAGAGCACTTACACTTCAAACTGAATGTGCCTGTGTGCGTTCCAGCCTATTCTCACTGCCAAAGAACACAAAGGCTTTAGCTAATCTACATCTTCCCTCTGCTAAGGGGCCCTGGAGAAGGGGAGGGTGTTGGGGTTGTAGATGCCAATGTCTGAGACTACTTTGTGTAATGGCAAAATGTCAAATAACCTCCATGTTACAGAAGTGTAAGAGTGATGATGTAACTGGGATGGTCCAGAAATCATGCGAGAGGCAAGGATTTCTTAAGGTGAGATCCAGATCCAGAGCTGCTCGGCCTAGAGTGGTGGAAGCTCCCCAGGTACACCAGGGGAACAGGTTTGAGGCACTGGCAGGTGTGACAGAGAAAGACAGAGCAAATGCCCCCGGTGGGGACGATGCCACTCCCCACACGACATGGAATGGGCAGAGAACGAACACCAGCAGGAAGAAACGCCAGGTCCTCGTCATCGGAGACTCCATCCCACGAGGACTGGAAGGCCCCATCTGCCGGCCTGACCCCATGACGCGGGAGGTCTGCTTCGTGCCTGGGGTTCGGGTTCAGGACATCATGGAGAGGATCCCGGCCTACATGCAACCTGCAGACCAGTACCCCATGGTTGTCATCCACGTGGGAACGAATGACGCGGCCGGGGCAACCCTGACCACATTATGAAGGACTTGGAGGCTCTGGGGGCCAAGCTTAAGGAGATGGGGGCACAGGTGGTATTCTCCTCTCTTCTGTGAGTAGGCAGGGACGGCGACACAAAGCCTGCTTTGGCGAGGTCAACCAGTGCTTATGGAGTTGGTGCCGCCAGGCGGGCTTTGGGTTCCTAGATAATGACCCATGCTTTCGGGCGAGGGACTTGCTGGGGTGGGATAGGCTTCACCTCTCTCCTAAAGGCAAGCATGTCTTCTCTTCCAGGTTGGCTGATCTCGTACAGCGAGCTTTAAACTAGCCTCACTGGGGGAGGAGGCCGCAGGAAGACAAGGAGACACCACCTGAGCAAGACAGGTGACACATGCAAGGAGTGCCCAGGTAAGAAACAGGGATCCAGATAGTCTTCCTAATTGGGGGGTGGCACACACAGCTATTCAAGGCCTTAAATGCCTATATACCAATGCTTGTAGTATGGGGAACAAACAGGAGGAACTCGCCCTCAGAATAGCCAGTTCAAACCAGACATAGTAGGGCTTACAGCAACGTGGTGGGATTCACCCCACGACTGGGTAGTTAGCATTAAGGGGCTATAGGCTCTACAGGTGGGATAGAGAAGGGAGGAAGGGAGGGGGTGTGGCACTCTATGTCAAAGAACAGTACACATCCTCTGCCAGCAAAATGGGGTCAGAGGAGGGGCAAGCTGAAGTGCTCTGGGTCAAGATACAAGGGAGTCAGGGGGGAAGAGGGATTTAACGGTGGGGGTCTACTACAGACCCCGCAACCAAGGGGAGGCGCTGGACCGGGAATTTTTGGGCCAGGTTGCAGAGGCACTTAAGGCAAGGGATGTAGTTGTCATGGGTGATCTAAATTACCCGGACATCTTCTGGGAGGAGCAGTCAGCCAGGTCGGACCATTCCAGGAGGTTCCTGGCTGAGATACAGGACCTCCACTTAACCCAGGAGGTGCACAGTCCCACCAGAGGAAATGCCCTGTTGGACCTGGTCCTGGCCACAGGCGATGATCTGGTAAGGGGGCTCCAGGTCC